AAAAAAAAAGAAAAAAAAAAAAAAAAAAAAAAAAAAAAAAAAAAAAAAAAAAACTAAAAAAAAAAAAAAAAAAAAAAAAAGACAAAGGTTAGCTCCAGCGTGGTGGTGGCGACCTGTAGTCCCCCAGCTACTCAGGAGCTGAGGCAGGAGAATGGCGTGAACCCAGGAAGGTGAGCTTGAGTGAGCCTGGAGATCGGCGCCACTACACTCCAGCCTGGGCGACAGGGTTGGAAGACTGTCCTCATAAAAAAAAAAAAAGAAAAAAACAAGAAAAAAAAATTATCATGGTAATTCATTTAAATGCTGAAATCTGACTTAATCAGGTAGCTCAAAGTACTTAAAAAGCTATAAAATGCCCCTGTATCTAGGTTTCCTATTGGTTGCTATACACAAGCATTACCACCAATGTACCACTTAACACAAATTAATTTTTCTTACAGTTTTGGAGAGTTAATGATGAGATGGAAATGGATCTTACGCGGCTAAAATAAAGGTGTCGCACAAGAGCTGTGTTCCTCTGTAGGCCCTATGGGGAGAATCTTGTCCTTTGGCTTTTCCACTTCTAGAAACTGCCCGAATTCCCATGGCGGGAACCCGGGAGGCGGAGCTTGCAGTGAGCTGAGATCCGGCCACTGCACTCCAGCCTGGGCGGCAGAGCGAGACTCCGTCTCAACAAACAAACAAACAAACAAAAAAAAAGGCATGTACCACCAAGCCTGGCTAATTTTTTGTATTTTTAACAGAGAAGGGGTTTCACCATGTTGGTCAGGCTGGTCTCAAACTCCTGGCTCAAGTAATCCGCCTGTCTCAGCCTCCCAAACTGCTAGGATTACAGGCATGAGCCACTGCACCCGGCCTGAATATTCTTATTTTTTGTTTAGTTCTTCAGTGAAATCAACTAAGTCAGTGAGAAATTTGTTGAGGGGAGGAAGTTAGTGACAGTCCAAACTCCTTTTTTATTTTTTAAATAACAAGTTCTCAGTAATTTGCAAGTGTTAAAATTCACAGAACCAGCCGGGCACGGTGGCTCACGCCTGTAATCCCAGCACTTTGGAAGGCTGAGGCAGGCGGATCACGAGGTCAAGAGATTGAGACCATCCTGGCCAACATGGTGAAACCCCATCTCTACTAAAAATACAAAAATTAGCCGGGTGTTGTGGCGGACGTCTGTAATCCCAGCTACTCGGGACGCTGAGGCAGGAGAATTGCTTGAACCCGGGAGACGGAGGTTGCAGTGAGCCAAGATCGCGCCACTGCACTCCAGCCTGGGCGACAGAGTGAGACTCCGTCTGAAAACAAAAACAAAAACAAAAAACCCACAGAACTAAGGTTTATAAGCATAATGCATTTGTATGAGGAATAATCATTCATAGCAGATTAGAATAAACCCTCCTAAATAGCTTTCTAAAAGCCAGATTTGAAACTTATTTTGATATTTTATAAGAATTTTCATATTAGGCTGACAATCAATACAGGTTCCTGGTTGGCTGCATTATTAATGCTGAGCCTCAGTGCTTTGCTAGAGCCCCCCTCCCTTTTTTTTTTTTTTTTTTTGAGACAGAGCCTTGCTCTTTTGTCCAGGCTGGAGTGCAGTGGGGCAATCTTGGCTCACTGCAGCCTTCCTGCTTCCCAGGCTCAAGGGATTCTTGCGCCTCAGCCTCCAGAATAGCTGGGATTACAAGCACCTGCCACCGAACCCGGCTAATTTTGTATTTTTAGTAGAGATGGGATTTTGCCATGTTGCCAAGGCTGGTCTTGAACTCCTGCCCACCTCTGCCTCCCAAAGTGCAGGGATTACAGGCATGAGCCACCGCATCCGGTGAGAGCCCTGTTTTCGAGTACAAATGCTCAGACCTCCCTTCTTCCTTTTCCCTACCACATTCTCTGCATTTGGCTAGAAGGTCAAGCTTTGTTTGCGATGCACTTTGAAAGGAAGTGCAGAGGTCTAAGAGGTAAAGCTGGAACAGAAAACTAAAGGTGTAAAAATGTCCCAATGGACAGGACTTTGTGGGAAAGTGGAGGTGGGGAGCTGAAAATCTTAATTCTCTACCTCCTTGTTTTTCATGCAGAAATGAAGTTCTTTATCTCACTCAAAGGAATTAGCCCAGAGAAGCCCTTTTCCCTTATAATTTTCCGGTCTACTGTGAAGGTTTTCGACAACCTTTCGGCTTATCCAGTGGATCTCAAGCACAGGTGATTTTGTTCCCCTGGGGACACTGACCTATGTCCGGAGGTGTTGGTGTCACACTGGGGTGTGTGTGGGAGTTACTGCATCAAGTGGGCAGACGCCAGGGGTGCTGCCGGACACCCCACAGTGCACAAGACAGCCCTGCAACACAGGATGATCAGAATGCCAGTAGCGTGAAGGTGAAAAATCTTGGGTTAATAGGATATTATTTAATTTTTGACAGATTTTCCATGCTTTGTGGTCAGTTAAAAGGGTAGGGTTTTTAAATTTTTATTATAAAAGTATAAACACTAGAGGGCAGTACCTGCCTGATAGTTGCAACAGATGTTACTATGGGGGTCTTTGAAGGAAAAAAAAAAAAAGCCTGGTGATTTAGGTAACTAGAAGCTAAGTGACTACAGGAGACCCTTAAAGAAGCATTTAAGTAATTTTAAATCAAAAGACAGTTTTGCTTGGTGTGGTGGTGTGCCTGCAGTCCCAGCTCCGCTTGAGCCCAGGAGACGGAGACCTGTTTGGGCAGCACAGCAAGACCCCATCTTTTTTTTTTTTTTTTAAGAGTTTTAACAACTGCTGCTTTTGAGGTCAGGAAAAGCAGAACAAGCGGTTTTTCTTCTGCTTCTCTATAATAGTGGCTTGTGAGCTTTTGCCAGAGAAAGGGGAAAGTTCGCACTAGGTTCTCACACACAGAAACACTAACGTCATTGCCACTTACACTTCTATTTGCTCTGAGGAGGCAGATGATGGAAAGTCGCTATTCCTAGGGCATGTAGATCATTATAATGCTGTGGGAGATGTGTCTGGAACAGGGGAACTTGGAGCAGACAGGGAAAACATCACGACTGAGTCCATTAGACAAGTCAGAATCTGACTCAGCTCTTTTTTTTTTTTGAGACGAAGTCTCACTCTATTGCCCAGGCTGGGAGTGCAGTGGTGCAATCTCGGTGCGGCTCACTGCAACTTCCGCCTACCGGGTTCGAGCGATTCTTGTGCCTCAGCCTCCACAGTAGCTGGGACTACAGGCACACGCTACCATGCCTGGCTAATTTTTGTATTTTTTTGTTGTAGACATGGGGTTTCACTATCTTGGCCAGGCTTGTCTCCAACTCCTGACCTCAGATGATCCACCTGCCTCGGCCTCCCAAAGTGCTGGGATTACAGGCATGAGCCACCGAATCCAGCCTGACTCAGCTCTTTTGAAACGGATCAATAATATCTAGTTTGTTGCTTGCAGCTATTTACATTAGCTAGCTATGCAATAACGCAGTACAATTTTCTGTTTTCTCCTAAGGTTCAGTCCAATTTTAAAAAACGAAACAAATAGGCCGGGCGTGGTGGCTTACGCCTGTAATCCCAGCACTTTGGGAGGCTGAGGCTGCCGGATCATGAGGTCAGGAGATTGAGACCATCCTGGCTAACACGGTGAAACCCTGTCTCTGCTAAAAATACAAAAATTAGCTGGGTGTGGTGGTGGGTGCCTGTAGTCTCAGCTACTCAGGAGGCTGAGGCAGGAGAATGGCATGAACCAGGGAGGCAGAGCTTGCAGTGAGTCAAGATCGCACCACTGCACTCCAGCCTGGGCGACAGAGTGAGACTCCGTTTCTTAAAAAAAAAAAAAGAAAGAAAAAAAAGAAACAAATGAAGCATTTTTTGTTTTTAGTGTCAGAAATCTAGGCTCAAACCAAGTTTTTGGATATGTTAATAAAAGTTGACCTCACCTGTGCCCTCAAATAGGACAAACCATTTGCTAAATTCACATTAAATCTACACATTCCTAGTGAGGCGCAGTGGCTCATGCCTGTAATCTCAGCACTTTGGGAGACGATGGCAGGAGTTCGAGACCAGCCTGGCCAACATGGTAAAACCCCGTCTCTACTAAAAATACAAAAACTGCGCATTTCTTTTTATTTATTATTAAATATTTAAGGTACACAGTGGTATCAAGAATGGACATTGATCTACTTGTCACTCAGCTTAAAAAATGAAACATCAACAATGCAGTTGAAGCCCCCTGTGCACCCTTCTCCAGTTGTATCCTTCTCCTGCCTCCCTGCTGCTGTCATTTCCAGGTAAATGAGTTTGATGTGGAACATTCCTTTTTTTTTTTGAGACAGAGTCTTACTCTGTTGCCCAGGCTGGAGTGCAGTGGTGCAATCTCAGCTTACTGCATCCTCTGCCTCCCAGGTTCAGTGATTCTCCTGCCTCAGTCTCCTGAGTAGCTGCAGTTACAGGCGAACAACAACACGCCTGGCTAATTTTTGCATTTTTAGTAGAGATGGGGTTTCGCCATGTTGGCCAGGCTAGTCTTGAACTCCTGACCTCAAGTGATCCACCTGCCTCAGCCTCCCAAAGTGCTGGGATTACAGGCATGAGCCACCATGCATGGCCTCTTCAGACTTTTATTATATATGTTAAATATGCCCAGTAATATATAATTTCTGCATATTTAAAATTTGTATATAAATGACATTATAACTGTTCTTCTGTAATTTGTGTTTTCTCTTAAATACGTTTGTAAGATCATCCATGTTGATACATGTAACTCCAGTTTTTGTCTACCAACATTTTTGGTATCTGCATACTTGCTAATTCACATGATGATGTTATGAACATTCTTATATGTTGTTGAGTTATGCGTATGTAAGAGTTCCTTTTTTTTGTTTATTTATTTATTTATTTATTTATTTATTTATTTATTTATTTTTTTTTGAGACGGAGTCTTGCTCTGTGTGGCCCAGGCTGGAGCGCAGTGGCACGATCTTCAGCTCAACTGGCAAGCTCCGCTCCCCGGGTTCACGCACTTCTCCCTGCCTCAGCCTCCTGAGTATCTGGACTAACAGGCGCCCACCACGCGCGGCCGGCTAGTTTTTGTATTTTTTTTAGTAGAGACGGGGTTTCACCGTGTTAGCCAGGATGGTCTCGATCTCTCGACCTCGTGATCCGCCCGTCTCGGCCTCCCAAAGTGCTGGGATTACAGGCTTGAGCCACCGCGCCCGGCCTTTTGTTTATTTTTAAGACAGACTCTTGCTCTGTCACCCAGGCTGGAATGCAGTGGCACGATTTCGGCTCACTGCAACCTCTGCCTCCTGGGTTCAAGTGGTTCTCGTGCCTCAGCCTCCCAAGTAGCTGGGATTACAGACACGCGGCACCGCACTCAGCTAATTTTTGTATTTTTAGTAGAGACAGGTTTCACTATGTTGACCAGGCTGGTCTTGAACTCCTGGCCTCATGTGATCTGCCCACCTTGGCCTCCCAAAGTGCTGGGATTACAGGCGTGAGCCACTGTGCCTGGCCTGTAAGAGTCCTTTAAAGCAGGGATTGGCAAACCGTGGTCTGGCCTGTGGACCTTCCACCTTTTTTTTGTATGACCCGGGCACTAAGGTGGTTTTTACATTTCTGAATGGCTTTTAAAAATGGAAAGACTAATATTTTATGACACATGAAAATTCAAGTTGCAGTGTCCATAAGTAAAGTTTTATTGGAACAGCCGTGCTCATGCATTTATATATTACCTAAGGCTGTTTTCAGGCCTAGTGAGTAGTTGTAACAGAGACTGGCTGGTGTTCAAAGCCTAAAATATCTGATATCTAATTCTATGCAGAAAATGTTTGCTGATTACTGCTCCAGTGTGTATGTGGAATGAAATTGCTGGGTTCCGCATATTCATTTTTTGCTGTCTTATCAGTTAGATCTATTTTTTAAAAATGCAAAACTCTATAATCTGTTGCATCAGATTATATTTTCTAAAACCCTTTTTTCTTTCCTTTTTTTTTTTGAAATGAGGCCTCACTATGTTGCCCGGGGTGGATACAAATTCCTGGGCTTAAGCTATCCTCCTGCCTCAGTCTCCCAAGTAGCTAGGACAACAGGCATGTGCCAGCCTGCCCAGCCTTTCTGAAGCTCTTAAACAAATATAAAAAGAACTCTTTGGATCTTATGTTTTCATTTTGTTTAAGTAATGAGCTTTAAACACATCCTTGTATAGTTTCTTTCCCTCTCACTCCAGTGGTCCTGATTGTTGTAGTGGTGAGGAATACCAATTAGGTGTATCTTCCTTTGGAGTGGAGAAAAGACTAGGAAAATAACAGACTCGTATAATTTTTTAACTTCCTTTCAAGATCTTTTTTTTTTTTCAGACGGAGTTTCGCTCTTGTTGCCCAAGCCAGAGTGCCATGGCGCAATCTCAGCTCACTGCAACCTCCCGCTCCCAGGTTCAAGCAGTTCTCCTGCCTCAGCCTCTAGAGTACCTGGGATTACAGGCATGTGCCAACACGCCTGGCTAATTTTTTGTATTTTTAGTAGAAGCGGAGTTTTACCATGTTAGCCAGGCTGGTCTCGAACTCCTGACCTCAATTGATTCACCCGCCTCAGCCTCCCAACATGCTGGGATTACAGACACGAGCCACCCCTTGGTCCAAGATCTCTTTTATTTATTTATTTATTTATTTTGAGACAGAGTCTTGCTCTGTCGCCCAGGCTGGAGTACAGTGGCGCAATCTCGGCTCACTGCAACCTCTGCCTCCCAGGTTCATGCCATTCTCCTGCCTCAGCCTCCCGAGTAGCTGGGACTACAGGCGCCCGCCACCACGTCTGGCTGGTAGAGACGGGGTTTCACCGTGTTCGCCAGGATGGTCTCGATCTCCTGACCTCGTGATCCGCCCATCTCGGCCTCCCAAAGTGCTGGGATTAGTTGTGAGCCACTGCACCCGGCCCAAGATCTCTTTTAAATACCCAAGAATAAGTCATCTAAAAAACGCAAGTGTTGGTCACTGGCTTTTATTGGTCACTGACTTTTCTGCCCTCTACTAGAATACAGAGTCCATAAAGACAGCAATTTTTGTCTGCTTTTGTTGTTACTTGTAAAAATGCCTAGCATGTAGTAGATGCTCAAGGAATATTTATTAGTTGAATGAATTTGAAGAACTCCACTCATCTGGATGAAAACTTGAAATTCACTGAACTATTTGGACATAATACATTAATATTTAACAATACTGTATTTGGAACTATGGAAGACACTTCATGTTTTCTTTTCTTTTCTTTCTTTTTTTTTTTTTTTGAAATGGAGTTTTGCTCTTATTGCCCAGGCTGTAGTGCAGTGGCTCAATCTTGGCCCAATGCAACCTCTGCCTCCTGGGTTCAAGCGATTCTCCTGCCTCAGCCTCCCGAGTAGCTGGGATTACAGGTGTGGACCACCACGCCTGGCTAATTTTTTGTATTTTTGGTAGAGATGGGGTTTCACCATCTTGGCCAGGCTGATCTTGAACTCCTGACCTCATGATCCGCCCGCCTTGGCCTCCCAAAGGGCTGGGATTGCAGGTGTGAGCCACTGTGCCCAGCTAAAAAGGTTTTTAAAAAATTACTTTATTGAGGTAAAATTCACGTGTGAAAATATTTCTATTTTTACATTTTGGAAGGCTGTATTATTTGATTGGGAAAAGATAGATGGGCTGTGCATGTTTATTTTTTGTTTTTGAATTTTTTTGTTACTCCATACCCTGAAGAGTCCCTTATTGTTGATTCCCAGGGCTGAGGACTGACTTTTTTTTTTTTTTTTTTTAAATTAGTGCTGGTTTCTATGGGATGCAAACTTTTCTCTAATAGCTGAAAGCAGAGGCTTCTGGGTGCTTTCAAATTTCTTCTTTCTTCACGGTGTTAAAAGAGCGCCTTGCCTCCTCTGTGTGTCGTTACGCGTACTGGAGTGCAGAATAGAAAATGCAAAGCAAGACAGCCGTACAGGCGGTTTTTCTTTTTAAAGGAGTTGATAGACAAATGGCACAGAGTTCACTGTTCTCGCCAGCTGAGAGTTTAGCTTCCAGAAAGCACTACTTTAGGGAACAAGTGAAGCAGTGTGGAGGGCCTGAAAGGCTTCATTGACACAGCAGCCGGGAGGCTCTTGTAGCGCATTGTGTGGGGTGCGGTGCCTTCGGAAACCAGCTCTCGAGATGTCTACACCCCCAACATCCCCAACGCTGAAAACATTAGGGTGTTTTTTTTTTTTTTTTGGTTGCTTTTTGTGTGTTTTGTTTTTTGCCATTATACTTGGTTTTCCAAGTGAGATTCCTGGAAAGGTATTTGCTTTTATTTGTTTTTGTTTATTAGTTTCCTCTGTGTGTCAGTCAGTTCTTCGCATGGTCACTTGGCTTACTTGGTAGGAACATGGGGGATCTGGGTGGTGGGGTCGAGGCAGTTTCCCCAACAAATCACTGGTACAACATGAATGTGTTTGTTTTCTGAATGAGAATCTAAGTGCTGCCACCAAAAAAGGTGTACTGGGGTAGGAGAAATAAGGTGAATTTGAAGCCGGCAATTGAAATCATTATTGATAGTTTCCTAGTTTTCCTGAAGGTTGATCTGGAGAGATGGAAGTCTAAGCTAAGGAATAATAGATCTGTACCAGTGAAGTTGTAGAATCACTTGCAGGCTCTGAGGGTCTGTCCCAGGGAAGACACAATGATCCGTGGCGTGTTGGTTTGGTATAGAAAGGCCAGGGCCAGGCAAGCTCTTCATCCGTGGTTTTTATTCAGGTATTAATAGAGCTCCTAGTATGTGTCTGGCCTTGAGAAGGGATGTGGCTTGTGTTCCTGCACTTTGAGGGGTTTCGAGTCATAAACCCATAGACCACGGAAGATCCTTAGAGATCGGCAGTCCTCCTCTTACTCTGTGGGGGAGCACTAAGGCCCAGAATGTTGGCTTGCTCAAGGTTACACAGAGAGTTAGTGGTGGCCTCTTGAGAGGCCAGAGCTTTTTTTTGAGACAGAGTCTCGCTCTGTTGCCCAGGCTGGAGTGCAATGGCCTGATCTCGGCTCACTGCAACCTCCGCCTCCCAGGTTCAGGCGATTCTCATGCCTTAGTCTCCCGAGTAGCTGGGATTACAGGCACCTGCCATGACGCTCGACTAGTTTTTCTATTTTTAGTAGAGACAGGGGTTTCACCATGTTGCCCGGGCTGGTCTCGGACTCCTGAGCTCAGGTGATCCACCCGCCTCAGCCTTCCAAAGTGCTGGGATTACGGGCATGAGCCACTGCGCCTGGCCTAGAAGCCAGATCTTTTTACTCCCAGTTTTATA